CAGCAGCTTCTCCAGGAGGTTGCTGTGGGAGGAGGTGTCCAAGGCCTTACTAAAGTCCAGGTAGACAACGTCCACAGCCTTCCCCTCATCCACCAGGCAGGTCACCTCGTTATAAAAGGAGATCAGATCAGTCAAGCAGGACCTGCCCTTCCTGAACCCGTGCTGACTGGGCCTGATCACTTGGTTGTCCTGCATGTGCCGTGTGATGCACTCAGGATGATTTGCTCCATCACCTTCCCTGGCACCAAGGTCAGACTGACAGCTCTGGAGTTCCCCGGGTCTTCCTTGTGGCCCTTCTTGTAGATGGGCATCACATTTGCAAGCCTCCAGTCCACTGGGACCTCCCCAGTGAGCCAGGACTGTTCTTTACCCCTTTCCTTCTTCTGTGTCTTATGTATAGAGAGCATAGGAGGCTAGCTGTAGGATCAGTAGGAGGAAAAAAAGAAGCAACTTTAAAAGGGAGAGAGTGAGAGATTGGTTATGAAGAGTCTATCACATTGAAGGCAGGTGCAGAATCTACAAGACACTGTTCTGGAGAGAAGTAGCAGAGGAGAAGATGGACTGAGAGGAAGCTCAAACTGTAAGGGGGAATGAGTAGAGGGTTTCAGCTATTTTCTTCACACCCAAAAATAGCAGGTGCTTCTTAAAGTAGGTTTTAATTTAGTTCTACCCATGAGTTATTGTGCAATCATAAGCAAACCACTTACGTTTCTTACAACAGCTGCTGTAATATTTTTCCCTGTAGGGTGCTGAGAGGCTTAATTAGTTTTCAAAGTGGCTTTGTGAGCCTTTGGCTAACAGAGGCTGTGAAAGTACAGCATCTCTCAGCTCACTTGTGGCACGCAAGCCACCTGACGAGGTCCCACAGCAGTGTTTCTCATTGTGTTCCTCTGTATCTCAGACGTCCCCATGCAGCAGAACATGGCTCTGTTTGAGTTCAACGGCCAGTGTGGCTATCTGCTCAAGCATGAATTCATGCGGCGTCCAGACAAGCAGTTTGACCCCTTCTCTGTGGACCGCATTGACGTGGTGGTGGCGAGTACCCTGTCTGTCACGGCAAGTACAAACCATGGTGCTGTTCCTCCCCTGCCAGCCAGCTCCTGGCACCATGTACATTATAGAACTGGCATCCATGGCTCTGCTATTTATTACCCAGCAGGGTTCTTAGTGGCAAATGAACCCAGAGAGTCCTGTGGGAGAGAGTTACCATGACAACTCCCAGTCTTTTCACTATTTTAAATTAATCATAATCGCATGAAAATGGAAAATTAGCATCTGCCACGCAGGAGAAGCCAAAGCTGTGACGATGGGGAAGGGAGGAGGTTTAGAGGAAGTGCTGAAGCAAGAAACATGAGTGGGGGTAAAAGCAAAGCCTCTTGTGGATTGGAAGCTGCAGCAGAAAAGATGTTTTGGGGTGGGAGAGTGATTTTGGGGTTCTTCTGTTTTATTCTTTTCAGCGGTTGCTAATGATGTTTCTGCTTTTTCATAGATACTCTCTGGTCAGTTCCTCTCTGACCGCAGTGTGAAGACGTATGTGGAAGTAGAGCTGTTTGGGTTGCCAAGGGACACAAAACGCAAATACAGAACCAAACTGACCTCCACTGCCAACTCCATTAACCCTGTGTGGAAAGAGGAAGCTTTTGTTTTTGAAAAGGTAATAAGGTTTGATGGTAATTTAGACAGAGAATCATTAAAGGTCTTGCTGGCCACAAGCACTGCCTTGTGAGAGACCAGTGGCAACAGATCTGGAGGTCTCAGCCATGGCTTTAGACACACGAGATGTTTTCTGTTGCTCTCTCAGCTAATATCCAAATGGCATCATCCAAACCAACTCTCCAGCAGCATTTCCCTGAACAGACAAGGGGTAGCTGGGAACATTTCTGGAAATAACAGGCATCAAAAGTCTCCCATTTGTGATGCACTTCAGACTGAATTGACTAATCAGCATTGAAAATTTCCAGCACTTGGAAGCAGAAAGGAACTGAATGTCTGTGGTTAAACTGTAAATGACAAGCAGAGAAACTAGAGAAGTAATGGGTCTAGTGGGAGGTTCTCAGTTGTGCCAGAATATGGAAAGCTGCCCTGTTTGTCCACCAGAATTCAGTGGTCACTAATCCAGCTATGTGTGCAGGGGAGTTCAGTCACAGGTGGCAGTAACATTTCTTTCCTTTCCGCAGTAAGTCACAAAGGCAAAATGCATGTTACCTAATTCATCTCTGTCAAGCGCACTCTGAAATAGCAGATATTTTCAGCCTACTTGGGATGTGGTAGATAAATATTATCCTCATTTCAAAAAACACTTTTCAGGCTTCAGTTCTGGCAGAAGAATTTTGAGCTCAATTTATAGCAGAAGAAAATGGGGGAGGAGGGAGGCAAAAGCCCTTATGGCAAAGTTACTGTGCTTGCTATATTCTCCTCCTAAGAAGTTCATTGCCTTCTCCAGTGAATTGCTTCATGGAAACTGTGGTTTGGAAGGTTTGTTGCCCCATGTTTTTTCTGTAGGTAAACTCCCCTCCTGTGATCCTATGCAGTCTCTCCTCCTAAAAGCCTGTGTCTTGTGGAGTTCCTGTGAATTCAATTACATCTGTGATAATCTGTAGCCTTATTACAAGATGCAGAAATAGGCAGTGACTTCCTCGGAGAGATGGCATTATTTTGGTGGAAGAAGGAGAGAGAAAAGTCCTACTCAGTGAGGCTACTATGCTGGTAGGAATTAGAAGTGAGGACACTGGTGCCTTACTCTGTTTTTTCCTTAGATTATGATGCCTGAGTTGGCATCTCTCAAAATTGTGGCTTGGGAGGAAGGAGGGAAGTTCATCGGTCATCGTGTCATTCCTGTTATTGCAGTGCACTCAGGTAAATTCTGTGGAAATTTCTTCAACTTTTATGCCCTTGAGACCTATCCATTGGAAGCTGTACAGAAGATACGAGTATCTGCATGTTTTGCTACTTAATCTCCATTCCTGTAGGCACTGGAGCCTTCAAATTCATCTCATTATAGCGTTGGCTTAATTCTATAATATATTCACCATGCCCTGCTGTAAAGGAAGACTTTGTTTTACTGTTGGAGCACACAGACAGAAAGGGACAGAGATTCTGTCAGCTTACCTCTCCTGCTTTCTGTTTTCAGGCTATCACCACATTTGTCTCCGCAGTGAAAGTAACATGCCGCTCACCATGCCCTCTCTGTTTGTGTACCTGGAAGTTAAGGACTATGTTCCTGATGCTTGGGCAGGTAGTATGGGTTAGAATGCTTGGGGCAGGGCGTGTTCTGGCTTTGTCCAAACTGCAGAGCAGAGCAGATGTAACGTCTCTCTGGTTTGGAATGAGTCAGTCTTTTTACTGCTTTTACTCAGAGGCAGAGAGAGGTTTCCTTGAGTGAAGAGGTGATAACTTTCAGGATGTTATAATATCAGGGACTGAGAATAAGGTTTTAGGGAGCACAGGAGCATAGTTCTTGCTGGTACTGAGATACAGTGATCCTTAAAAAGGGGATGGTCAAACAGGAAGAGATGAATCAGGAAAGAAGCTCCACTGGAGGCATTATCAGCAAAACTTTTTAACAATCATGAACAAAGCCGTGCAGAATGCAACAGCATCAGCCACAGACGTTCTTGTGCATACTTTTCATGTTTACTCTCTCCTCCCCATACAAATGAATCTTATTCATGGGGGAAGTCCTGTGAAATGGATGGTTTTAACGCATATTTGTAAGGAAGACCAGGACTGGAGTGTATTGTACAGTATTGGACTGGAGTGAGAGCAGGAAGCTGTGCAGGTTAGGAAAGTCTTGGGATTTTGGGAGCAGTATGCTCTTTTCAGCTTCATAGAGCTGCCCTAAACATCAGTTGTGAGCCATCACTTTAGAATAGGACTGAGATAAAGCCAGTCCCTTCCCTTTGCACAGCCAGGGAGAAGCTTGTTACAAGTAGAGAACATGGCATTTCCCTTCGCCATAATTTCCTGTCCTAGACCAGAAAGCAAGCCAGAAGGCAAGGAAAAACAGAGTACAATGCGTCACTTGATAATCCAAGCAAAGACCTCCTCTTTGTTTCTAGATCTGACTATTGCACTCTCCAACCCCATTAAGTTCTTCAGTCTGCAAGACAAGAGATCAGTTAAGCTAAAAGATGGCTCCGTGGAGGTAAGCGTTTCCAAGTTCTCTCACTGTCTCTAAAGGATATTGCACAGATTCAGCTTGAAATAATAGAGCTTTGATTTACTTCTGATCTTTGTTTTAGAGGCTTGGCACCCAGAGGAACTTTCCATGTGCCGAAACTAATGGGATACCAGACTCCACTGGAAAATTCAGCGTTCCTCTTTCAAATGGGCCTGCAGGTAAAGCTGTGGATGTGGGGTGAGCTAAAAGTAGAAGGAAAAGCCTGTACACTCAAAAAGGCTGGAAAGAGACAGTACTGGAGGGTGAAGATTCTTGATAATGGGGTCAGAACCTCTCAGGCCAAGTCACCAACTGAAATTCTGGTACTTGTCCTGAATGGCAAAAGTTGGAGTTATCCCCTGACTCTTGCTCTGGGACAAATGTGATGTGCATAGCCCTTTTATTCCACAACAGAAAAGTAACCTCAGAAGAATACCTGGAAACAAGCTGCAGGTCCAACCGGCATCTTTCCCTTCCAAGACAGAGCTAACACAGCAGGGCAGTACTGCTGTTGCCTGTGCTGTCTTCCACACGTGCTGAAGGCTTTGATTGATGACCTGAGCTTTCCAGGTTCAGCACAGAGTTCCCTGAGAGGTAACTACATTGAGAGGGAACGTCTGTCCAAGGAAGAAGTGGCCTGTGGTAGAGATGTAGCCTCTCATCTTAAGTGTGTAATTGGAGGTTGCATATTAATTCTGAGCACAGACATGATAATTCTGGGCATTTGTGAGACAAAGGTTTTAAGATCTGGCTTGGTTTTGTCCCATAATACCACACTGCTCTTCACCTCTTTGTTGTTCTTGTCAAGGGTCTCTTTCTGTGGATTACTGTGATTTCTGACATTTTAAGTATGTTTAGATGCCCCGGAAAACTGTGTATCTTGTGAAACTGCACTTGCACCAGTGTCCAGTTGTGTAATACTTGGGAGCTTTAAAGATTAGCGGTTTTCTTCATCAGCTCAGATGAACACCAAACTCTTTATAAGATCCAGTCCAAGTTCAGAATGAACAGGTCGCACATCTGGCATTCTGCAAGAGTGGGAACAGAGCTCAGGCCTGTGTTTTGGCCACTAGATTAAATGGAGACCCATTAGCAGAACAAGGGCAAAGACTATTTAACTCTGACCAGTCAGATGAGTTGAAAAAAAGTTGTGGATTTGCTTTAATAGAAGTCAAAATACAAAGTCATCATTTATTGCTAGGTTTAAAGAAGCTCTAGCAGAGAAAGCTCTTCCTAACAGGATATATGTGTCTTTTATTGGCTTTATTTATGTTTATAGGTGTCTTCTTCTTGGCTTTATAAAACAAGATGGCCAACAAACATTAAAGGTGTAGTACTGGTGAAGGTGCCAGAAGGAATATTCCTCAAACGTGCTTCTAATACAAACTGACTGATAGCGTGTCAATTAGAACACGTGCCCTACCATACACTGCGATTACCTCCTTCTCTCCTGTTGTGTTTTATAGTAATTGACAGCTAATCAGTATTTCTTCCATATTAACTGTATCAATGTGATTAGTGTCCTTTCAAATATGTTGAGCAAACAACTGGTTTTCTCAAATTTCAGACCAGAATATCCTTCTCACATAATCAAAACAAGTTTACACGTGCCAAGTCATCACAAAGCAATATTCAGCTAGTACAAAGCAAATGCCCTTTTTGTCCAGCAAGGCAGAGAATCCTGTTCCCTTTCTGCTGTGCCTGTTAACACAGTTCCCAAGCACTTAAGCATCTCAGCAGGTTAATTAATTTCTTTGTATTCACACCAACATGCTCCATGTGGCCCGTGTCCTTCATGAGCTCTCCACTGTCCGTTTTCAACCCAAAGGCTCAAGACAGATCATAAACAGGAACCTCTTTTGTGATTTCAGGAGCAGCAGCTTTTGCCAAGGATGAAAACATGATAGAAGTGATGCAGATTGCAGGTAACTCCTCTCATGCTGTTCATGTGGGCTGAGGCCCTGCCAGTCATCTTACATTCCCTCTCTGCCCAGTTTCTGACTGGGATAGAGATGAAGTCTGTTTTGCAAATTAAAAAAAGACCTGACCCAACCATGCCTGCTGTAGCCAGCACTAAAGACAAACCACGTGAATCTCAGGGCTCGGGGACCCGGTTTCCCTGCCTGTGGCACCAGTTGCCCATTTAGACAACTGCCATGGTGCGTGGTGAGCTCTGGGGCTGGGATTGAGCTCACAGCGGGTCTCAAGGAGAAGAGAGGCTTGAAGTTGCCATGGTTCATGCCTTACATGAGCTGGGCCACTGTCATTTGCACGGGTAGGTCAGAAGAGCTTTGGACTGCTCCATCTTTAGCCCTCTGGGGCCACTGGCTGCAGCAACCCTGCGGCAAGTCAACTTTATAGCAAGGTAGGAGGCAGTAGCTGTCACATGAGTGCTGCTCTGGCCATATTCAGTGGTTCCTTTACCCTGACTAAATCAGAGGTAATGAGGCTGCAAGGAGGCTTCAGCACACGTGTACCCTCTGTAATAATACAGTGTTCACCTGTATCTCAATGCAGTGTGAAACAATTCGGCACAAAACACTAGTAACCAGTGTGCCCAATTGCTGCACAAAACTGAAGGCACAAGAGTAAACCTATTGCACTCTGAATATAGTGCTAAGTAACTGTTATGCATGTTAAGTGGTTGGTTTTTTTTAAAGTTATTCTTAAAGATTCCCCAGGACAGAGCTATGATTACTTTAAATATGTACTCTGGTAAAAGGTATCGCATAATATGGAAGCGTAGTGGGCTCTGGTTTGGGAGTCCAGACTTGTTGACTGAGAGTCTTGCATTTAAGCTGGACGCTTCGTTTTCCTCAGTGAGAGCCTTTTGGACGGAGCTGACCCTGCACAGCACAGCGTTGTGTTCAGACACACCCACAAGTTCTGCTAATTTTCACACGTTCCAAGCCAAAAAAGAAAGTTACTTCCCCTGAACAGATAGATAACTCCGTGTGCCCTTTCTGCTGCGGATAACCTCATCTGACTGACTTGCTGCTGCTAGATAACAAGTCCTCCAGCAGTTCACAGGCATCTTTCCCCTCAGTTCAAGAAGGACAGGGAACTGCTGGAGAGAGTCCAGCGTAGGGCTACAAAGATGATGGAGGGAGTGGAGCATCTCCCTTCTGAGGAGCGGCTGAGGGAGCTGGGGCTCTTTAGTTTGCAGAAGAGGAGACTGAGGGGAGACCTCATTCATGTTTAGAAATATTTAAAGGGTGAGTGTCACGAGGATGGAGCCAGGCTCTTCTCGGCGACAAACAATGATAAGACAAGGGGTAACGGACACAAACTGGAACACAGGAGGTTCCACTGAAATTGGAGAAGAAACTTCTTCTCAGTGAGGGTGACAGAGCCCTGGCCCAGGCTGCCCAGAGAGGTTGTGGAGTCTCCTTCTCTGCAGACATTCAAAACTCGCCTGGACACCTTCCTGTGTAACCTCATCTGGGTGTTCCTGCTCCGGCAGGGGGATTGGACTGGATGAGCTTTGGAGGGCCCTTCCAATCCCTAACGTTCTGGGATTCTGCAATTTTTATCTCCCTCAAAAGCTCTTTCACAACTGAAGACTTGTCACAGGCATTAAAAGTGGAAAGGACAAAAGCACCTGTCATTGTAAACTCAGTTTTCCAAATACATCAGTAGTAAAATAACAACACTTTTCCCTTATAATTAGAGCTGCAAGCTAGCTTAAAAATTACACTGTCTTTGAGTTACTTAGAATTGTGGACAAGGGTGTGAGGCACCAGACAGACTGGCACATCACCACCAGTGTGTTCCTCTGGCCAAAATACCACAAGGCAGCATTTCTTCTTGCCATCCCAGCCATCCCCATGCCACACATCCACCAGATGGTGAACTGAGCTGCATGGAATGCTGGAAACAGGCAAGAAAAGCTGCATGAAGGCAGTGCTGTAAAAAAGAAACCTGTCTGACTCCAAAAGGTATCACAGCGGGTTGAGAAATGCTGTGTGTAAGAAAACAGCCTCTTTAATTTGTGTTTTAGAGCCACAGACAGCCAGCCTCACAGATCTGCAGGAGATGAAGCTCTTCCTGAAGCTGCTGAAGAAGCAGGAGAAGGAACTGAGGGAGTTGGAGCGGAAAGGAAGTAAAAGGAGGGAGGAGCTGCTGCAGAAATATTCTGCACTCTTTTCGGAGCCCGTCTGTTACGGAGGCAAGAAAAGGATGATGCGAACTAGGAAAACCCAGAAGAAGAGGTAAATACAGCACAGGGTCTGGCCTGCAAGTCCCCTCCCCATACCGAAGCAGAGGGATCCCTAAGAGAAACATGAGCTTCCTTTCTCTGAAGGAAGCATGGAGTGGTGTGGGCATCCACATCTCCCTGGGTTTGTAGGGTGTTGGATGTTCCCACAGAGGGGTGGGGAGGAAGGGCAGGACTGTATTGGCATCTCTAGAAGCAGCACAGCTGCCATATCTGTTCTGCAGGAGTTTGACAGCAGGTGAGGTTGGTACATGTGCAAATCCTGTAGAAATGGCAGAAAGCATTGATAGCCAAGTTTTGGAACTGAGAGAGAGGTTGGAGATGGACCTCATCCACCTGGGGGAGGAACACCACGATGGGATACGAAGGAAGAAAGAACAGTACGCCACAGAGGTAAGGACTGCAAACGTCAACAGAAAATGTAGCCTAGGAGAGCCCCTGCAAGGTCAGCCTGAAAAATGGAGTTATTCACTAAACTAGGAGCTTGGAAATGTGGCCACAAGGGAGGAAACACCCCTCAGAGCAATTGTCAGGTCCAGGCAAGATAATGGAGAATGTAGACAGCGGTGCTTCTTTGTTAGAAGGTATAAAAATCCAGCAGAAGCATTTTTATAGGTCTGCAGTTTGAAAAAAACATGTGAAATGCTGCCCTGGAGCACGTCAGGCTCCATCTGCTTAAACTCTCCCAATAGCTTAGCTTGAGGTTCATGTGGCATTTACTGGCTTCGTACGCTGCCAAGTGCCAGCTCTCTAGAAGCATGGGTACAAGAGGCTGTAGCACTTTTCTCACAGCTCCCTGCTTGATGCTGTACTGTGAGAGCTAGGGTGACACACAGGTACAGTGAAGGCCTCCTGCAGCCATGCTGTAGGGCAGCCATGCTCACCGCTGCCATTCAACCAGGACTGATGATGCGTGGGAACAGAGCAGCCATTGCCACATCTGGGCTGATAAAATGAAGCCTTGTGAGGGGCAGTACTTGTTGGACCATCCCTTAGCACTGCCAGCAGGGCTGGATCTCATTCCTCTTGAAAACTGCAAAGTGTTTTGCTGTTTGACTTAGAAGTCAGATTAAATGTCTTTGTAGGGTGTCGCCAGTCAGTCCTGCAAGCACATCAGGGTTTCCCATGCCCTCACACTCCCCACCTCAAGCAAACACCAGCAAGAGACACAGTAATGCCTGGAGACAAGGTGTAGTCCACAAGATGGTGGTGATAAATGTGGCATACACCATCTGTTTCAGTGAGAGGGGCACGATTCCAGGATTTGGAGGCCTTTTCCTGTCATTATTTCCCAAAGGAGTTTGTGTCATATGTCTTAAATCTTGGGTTCCCTGGTGCACGTTGCCTTGATAAGCACCTTGCAAGCTGTCTACAGGACTGGCTGGTCTAGCCTGTACCAACCCTGAGGGGGGAAAAAAGAAGCCTGCCTCTTGAGAACTTGCTTACCTGGAAATCATACTTATCACCTGAGAGAGAAGCCAAAGGAACAAAACATTCTTGTCTCACAGCTGTCAAAAACTCTGAGATTTAGTGAGCAAGGCTACAAAAAAGAAATCAAAACCTGCGCTCTCACTGTGCAGCACATAGCCCAGCAGCCAGGGATTTTCCTTGCAGGCTGTCTCTTGACAGGCAGCAGTGCAGGCAGGTATGACTGCACTGGCACTTACCTGCCAGGAGTTTCCACAGAGCTTTGTTACCACAAGACAGAAAGTCCATCCTCTTGCTGCTAACCTCTGTTGTTTAGAAGATAAACTCTGCTGCTGCTTCCCACCTACCCACAAGTACAGTGAATCTGGTGCTGCCTCCTGCACAGAGAGGGAGAAAGCTGTTTGTAAAGATAACCTGGAGGCACCTGACATGGCCTTTGGAGCCTTGGTGGAGTCAGTCCATGAGCGTGATCTGATCTGTGTGCACATCTGAACTCACTGTTGTGGTACGTGGGTTTGCACAGAGCCTGTTGGATGAACTGGCCCCTGGAATTCAGTGCAGGGAGGGATAAAGCTGAATCCGGTGGTAATTAGAGATGAATGGTGTGCTGTGTCTCATCTTGGTTTGCTTGGTTTTGATCTTGTTTTTGTCCCTCGAACAGCAAGTTACCAAGCTAATAGAGCTAGCCAGAGAGAAGCATACAGCTGAGCTGAAGGCACTGAAGGAGTCATCAGAAAGGTAAACTTTGAATAACAAGGTAATAATGCATAGCTCTTATCTGGGGTAGTGTTTTCTGCGAGATCTCGATGCACTGTACTACACTGAGTGAATACAGGGGAAGAGAAGCATTTCTTTTACTTGGTGAGAAACTGAGGCCCAGCAAAGCGACCAAGGGTCTCACACAGTGGCAGTGGTGGGAAGACAGCTCTTGTCTTGTGATCTCCAGAACAGTGTTCCTGCCGCAGGGCACCAGACAGAGTATTAGCATTCAAGCTGTAAGTAGCCTTGACTAATTCAGAAAGATAGGAAATAAGGCTGCTGGTCACTGGCTGTCATCCCTATCTGCTGTGGTCAGTACATCACATATAATCCCTGCCATGGACTGATCAGCTCAGTCTTCTGAGTTAATTGAGCATCTTGGGTCCAGTACTTGAATAAACTGGCAGAATCAGTTCACCAATCTCTAGCCAGGCATTTATGCATTTGTTCTTGCAATAACTTTGTCTGGAAGCTGAAATCCTCACTCATGCCTCCTTCCCATTAAATCCTCTCTCAGCCTTTAGTTGCTAAGTCAGGCGAAGCTTCCTCTTTTCATGTTCTTCATCAAGACAGATTATCTGTCTCTCTCAGCTATTCAGCATATTCAGACAAGATTAAGAAAAACAGGCCGAGTAGCCAGGTAATGGTTTGCTAACAATACAGCGTCATTTGGTATAGTCACTTCTACAGCTGGCTGTGAGGAGCTCTAGAAGGTTTTAAAGATCTTGAGCAACGGGCAATAAAATGGCAGTTAAATTCAGTATGAATAAATACAAAATAATGGGAATGGAAAAAAAACACCCACCACCAACCCCTAACCATAGCTCAACTGTACACAGGGGTGAGCTATTGTCACATCTCTGTACAATAGCTCAATAGTATCCCCCTGTACTCGGCACTGGTGAGGCCGCACCTCGAGTGTTGTGTTCAGTTTTGGGCCTCTCACTAGAAGAAGGATGTTGAGATTCTGGAGCATGTTCAGAGAAGAGCCACAAGGATGGGGAGGGCTCTGGAGAACAAGCCTGATGAGGAGCGGCTGAGGGAACTGGGCTTGTTTAGCCTGGAGAAGAGGCGGCTGAGGGGAGACCTCATCACCACCTACAACTGCCTCAAGGGAGGGTGTAGAGAGGTGGGTGCTGGGCTCTTCTCCCAGGTGATGGGGGATAGAACAAGGGGAAACGGCACCAAGCTGTGCCAAGGGAGGTTCAGGTTAGAGATAAGGAGGAAGTTCTTTACTGAGAGGGTCGTCAGAAGCTGGCACAGGCTGCCCAGGGAGGTGGTGGAGTCACCATCCCTGGATGTGTTTAAAGAGCGGGTAGATGAGGTGCTTAAGGATATGGTTTAGGGGGTAGACAGGAACGGTTGGACATGATGATCTCGGAGGTCTTTGCCAACCGAGCGATTCTGTGATTCTGTGATCTCCAGCTGCTGTGGGTGCGTCTCTGAAACAGCTCATCATTCATGGCTCTGCAGTGGCCAAAGTGACAAACAGAATTTTTGGATTTGTATGGGAAAAAAACCGATTCAAAGTCAGCATTATGCCACCAGCTCTGTCTCCATAGCGCAGTCGCTTTTTTCGGTATGCCATCTTGAACAAAAAGCTTTGAAAGAGCAAGAGGGGGGTGGCAAGGATAGTCAGCAGTGAGGAGTAATTTCTGCACAGAAAGAAATGAAATAGGACTCAGCTTGGAGAACAGATGACTGAGGGGGATGTGACAAAGTATGTAAAATCATGAATGGCGTGGAGAAGAATAGGGAAGTGATTATTCACTATTTCTCATAAGAGCAGAAATGCCCAGTGAAGTTCTCGGGGAGCACTTCTTTCACACAGTGTATAAAGCTGTTTTCCTCTCAGGGCAAGGAGCTCTGAAGTCCAAAAGTAGAGCTAAACTCCCGAGGTAAGAGAGCCATCTGTGGGAGATAAATGCACAGAAGCTGGAAGATAGACAGGAAACTGGGAAGGTGGAGGAGGGAACACTTCTCTTAAATATAGGCCTTGGAGGCAGGGCACCAGACTGATGTGCCACAATCCCGTGGCCATTCTTATGCCCTCTTAGTGGCTGTCCTGCTGTAAGCATTCTGTACATGGGTGGCCAAGATGAGGTGCTGGTGCTGTGTCAGCAGCTGCTTACTCCCTGACACCAAAGCCTTCCTCCATCTGTCTTGTCACATTTTCTGGCCTGCAGGGAGCATTTCGATGGCCACATGTGCCTCAGTCAGGGACACGGATATTGGGTTTTCCAGGGTTTGTTCTTTTCATCTTTCCTGCTGGTTGATCAAATGCCTTTTGAGTGTTTATGGTTTCTGCTTTGCAAGTCACATCCCAGAGTTCATGTGCCTTTCTGCTTGCTTCTGGTTGTCTTTTTAGCTCTGCTATACAGACGTGCTGCTTCAGCCTGTGGCATTGCAATCAGCCCTGTGTCTCACAGCACTCTTTTCTCTTCACAGCAATATTAAAGACATTAAGAAGAAGCTGGAGGTGAAAAGAGTGGACCGAATCCAAACCATGATGAGGAATACCAGTGACAAGGCTGCTCAGGAGAGGTACTGGGGTAGATGTTACTGGGCTTTGTGGATGCAGGATGCTAGCTGTCCTGCTCCAGGCACAACACTGCAGTCTGTCACCAACATGGAAACTTCTTTAGAGCAGCCAGACAGGCAGTGGCAGAACAGTAGGGTCCAGGAGGGTGTGCTGCCCTGCCCTCCTTCCTGCCTTAGCACTTTTTCTCCACTGCATTCCAATACACAGCCGTATACGCAGTGAAGCCAAACATCTGCTCCCTAGCTGCAGCAACAGCGTCATTCCTGCAGTCACTGCTGACAGTGGCTTCTGGTGCCTTCTCCGTATGCTTAATTTTTGTGTGTACAGCAATCAGCAAGATCAGTTTCACTTACTGGACTTCTGAGTAGCCTGAGAGGAGCAGTGCCTTAAAAATGCCTCCTGCCCTGCCACAAGGAGTTAGGAGCTCATATGAAAATGCAGGGGGAGGTCATTACAGATGAAGAAATTGTACCTTGAAGACAAGCCTCCCATGCACCTGTCTCTTTGGTGACATGTAAGTTACTTGCTGACATGATGATGCACCTTCTGGCCACTTCAGCTGAAGCCTAAAAGCACTTCCAAACACCTCCTGCCTACCCTTGTGCCTTGGTGGGTATTTACTTCTCCCTAGAATCAATGGCCTGTCTTCCCCAGCCTCTCTAGAATCTGTTTGTAATAAGTTTCAGCACCCATCTCAGTTAAGAGATTGTGTTTAGGAATATAATTTCATTGTTATAAAAATAGCACTCTGCTGCTGAGGCTGTGTATTCAAGTACTGCATGATATGAATCAGTTGTAGCAGCTTCACATGTTCCAAGGGTACAGAAGAGGGGCTGCTACCTCCTTTGCTTCCAGCTCATAGCAAGGTCCTTTTGCTCTCTGTTAAGCTGAAATAAATATAATTTTGCATCCAATTATTTGCCTTATGTCTCAGTCAAATCTGAATAGTGTTTCATTTGCCTTTCCTAAAATTACAGCAACCTCTCAGTGTGGGAGGATGCTATGAGAATGTAACACACCTGTTTTTCTATGGGGGCAGCAGCAGTCCCGTCTTACTGTGTGGCACTCATTCAGTATTGATAAACAGGTTTTATATAAAGATAACAGATGGATGCAGATGGTTTTTATACATTTCCTTTCTTTTAAGGTTGAAGAAAGAAATTAATAACTCTCACATTCAGGAAGTGGTGCAAACGATCAAACTGGTAAGTTCTCCTGTGACAATCTGCCACAGTGTCGCATCTCTGCAAAGCAGGGATGTCTCATGTGCACCATCAGAGTGTCTCACAGATGGAGTGCGAGCTCTCTGAGGCATTTGAATCCCATTAAATTGCTGCTGCATCGAGGACTCCAAGTGTGTACTTCAGACAGCCGAAGTGCAACTGAAGACAGCTACCACCCTTACCGACGTACTGCGGGTCCAGGAAGGTCTAGTGAGTCCTCCTGCCTGGTCACAGTGCAAGCAGAGCTCTCCAGGATATTTTGCATTTCTAATTCGGGGATTTTTTTGAAGCACAACTAATGAGCAGTGTAACCTCACATCTATTTAATAATCTGCACAGTCTTGCAGAAGGGGAGGAGACCCTAAGGATCTCATCATTGCTCTTCAGTGACCCCATCCCCTTACAGAGCAGGCTCTGTGTGTGTTTGCTGATGCAATGCGCTTCCCTAGGCCTGGAGTTCAGGGGCTTGAGTACTACACAAATAACTCAGAGCCAGCAGAAACTGGGATACCATGGCATGGGCTGTTACAAGCTCGGGATGGCTAAAGCATTTGTTTATAACAACTTTAAATTTCAGTGTTTTTTTCCTTACTTGTTCTTTTTAAAGGTGACAGAAAAGACAGCCAGGTATCAGCAGAAACTAGAAGAGAAGCAGGCAGATAATCTGAGAACAATCAAGGAGAAAGAAAGTCAGGTAAAGGCAAATATGAAGCTCGGGGTCAATGCTGTTACTCAGCACAGTAAATCCAAAATACTAGAGGGGATTGATCTCCCTTGCGCATTCTTTAATTAACACTGCACTCATCCTCCACACGCACTTCAGACACCCACTCCTCACTACACTGAGAAAATGGATGACTTATGAGGTGCTTCTGCAGGGGCCCACACAGATCTAAGTCAGAGGTGCTGCACTCCTACACTCCCTGTGCCAGCACTAGCATTCATCTAAGCATATAAAAACCCCCTACATTTGAAGTGTGATGGAAATGCACCTTAGTCTCATCCCTGAGCTCCTCAAACTCTCCAAACACTCCAAATGCATTTGTGCCCTTGAGCAGGAAGTCTCAAACTGTGGTGCAAATCAGAATATTGTAAATCAGCAAACCTTCCCCTTTGCTCTTCAGGGAAGCCAAAGATTGCCTGGGGGACGGAGACAAAGTGTTCAATATAGGGCTGAGACCAAAATTGCTAATGTCTCATCATAGTGGTCTTACTGAGACCAGGTTTTTATACTGTTCTCAGCCTGATGGCTGCTTAGCTTCAGTGTTTGGAGAATGATCTGAGGTCTCTCTTTGCAGCTCCAGCAGAAGGCACTGGCAGAGTATGAAGAGAAAGTGAAAAGTCTGAAGATGGAAGTGCAGGAGATGGTGAAGAACTACGCAAAAGCAGGCTTTCCTGGAGAGCCAGAGACTCAGGAGGAGGCAGTTCAGAGCACTCCTGAGGTAGAACAAGGCTCTACAGCACAACTGGAAGAAAAGATCCCAGTGGCAGAGGTGTCAAGGCTTACAGTAGCCATGGCTGAGCCCCCAGGCGCTGGAACAGATGTCGAGATTGAAGAAAGCGTATTTTGAGAGATGCTTCCCTTACTGTTCCACTTCAAGAAGGTTTCTGGAGGTATACAGTGAAGTTAAAGACCAGCTTAACAAACTGTTACTATCCTTTTCCACTCTAGGGAACCCCTGAAAGCCTTCAGGAGTTTACTACTTTATTATACTAGATAGTGGAAGTAGGCTGAAGAGATGACCCGTCAGAGAGTGCTTTGCTCTCTGTCTTCCACAGCCTTGGCACTGAAGTATTTAAGCAGCATGAACGGGCCTGTGGCTGAAGGCACTCTTGGCATTCATGGCAGCATCTACATTACTACTTTAGTCTGGCTACAGACTTCCAATTCTTTGAGCAAGTTCCCTTATAATTTGTCACATGTATCCCTTCACAGCAGAGTGCTCTCAGCGCTAGATCCCTCGGAGCAAAATTTAACTGAGACACTCTCCAGTAGCCCACCTCATGTGCTCCTGCCAGCTGAGAGCTAGCCCAGAATAAACCCTCTGAAAATACATCTGAGTGTGGCAGGGCCTCAGCAAAAAACTGCCTCTGGTTGGAGGAGGAAAGGTCAGTTTGACAGAACCTCTCACCACACTTTGTCAGCATACCACTTCCTTGCACAACCAGTGCTGTCTTTTTAACATCCCCCCCACCCCAGTCAGCTGAGGACAGTTTTCAGTACATTGGTATCCATGCAACATAGCCCAGCATTTCCTTCTGTGAAAATGTTACCAGCACTGTAGCTTGGCTTCTTTCTTTCTAACCTCCCCTTATTCCCAGGGCCAATTCTCACCCCTAATTTCATGACTCTTGCAGGCCTTCAGGCAAGCGCTCAGCTCTGGCTCCACAGCCCTGCCAGTCTTAAGCAGGTTCCTTAGGCAGTCATAAGGCCTGTACTGAAGAGCCTGAGAGCCTCATTGTTTGTTCCAGCTACCGCAAAAACACTCTGAGTTCTCACCCACAGCAATTGGACCTTTTTTTTTTTTTTAGAGCTTCACTGAAACTGTTTTGCATGAAGCTAAATTAGCTCCATGTGGTGGGCTTAGGATACCAACAGTTAACAAAATTTCTAACCTGTTTGAAAATTACTTTGTGTTGCTCCAATAGCCAGCCAGGTGTATTGCCCGTAAGATTCTCTTGTGCAGAAAGCTGAGTATGGCCCAAAGGAACCGCAGTGAATTATCCATTCAAGTAGCAGAAAGCAGTTCTCTGGAGCTTCTTTTACATGCTGCCACCCCAGTTAATGACAACAGAGCATTAATGACAACTGTAGAATCTGTTCCCTGCAGCTGGGAAAAGCAAACTCCTCAGGCATCCATGTTCTTTAGGTCCTTGGGGGAGGGAGGGAGGCCACGACTGGCTGCTGCTCCTCCTGTTTGCTCTCCCTCTGCAGTGTGGCATGGCTCATCCCTCAAAACTTTGGTCATTTCCCATTTCTTCACGAAATTCACGCATCCATGTTCTTTAGGTCCTTGGGGGAGGGAGGGAGGCCACGACTGGCTGCTGCTCCTCCTGTTTGCTCTCCCTCTGCAGGACTATGGCATGGCTCATCCCTCAAAGCTTTGGTCATTTCCCATTTCTTCATGAAATTCACGCACTGCTAACTAACAGCAGTGTCTCCTGCCCTTTTGGTGACAGCAGATAAGGTTCATTCCACTGCCCAACTCTGAATGAAAACTGCCCAGCCATATGACTTTGAAGGGCAAATGGTCCTCAGCCTCTCCTAGCCCTAGCACATACTTGCTGCTGTCTGACTGCACTAACAAAAACCTTCCAGCAGAACACACTTGGAGGTCCATGTTCTCAATGTCTTGGTCTGGCCTTGCAACAGAAAAAGGGTAGGTTCCTCCAAGGCACCTTTACACTGCTGCTTTCTAGGGTAGCAGAGCCTTATTTAGTGAATGCAGAACATGAATCAGTGCTCCCTATCTCCACCCATCCTCTCTCTCACCTGTTTTATGGCCTTGTGCACTGAACAGTTTTGACACAGCAAGTTTTCCACTCATCCAGAAGGAAGGAACTGGAAACATATGGTCCAACTCTTTTCCTAGCACCATTGAAGACAGCCTTTGCTTATAGATCCTAAACCAGCAGGAAATAGCAATAATTCTGTACAGAGCAGTCCAATCCTGATCCTCCTCCTATCACATCCCAAAATAATGTTAGCCCAAGCACTGGGGTTGGCCTGCCAAAGTGTACTTGCACCAGGTCACACAGACCCTGCAAAACTGGGCATGTGTGCTCACGAGATTTCACAAGTGGAGGAGGAAGAACAGACCTGACACTCGCTGCTGCCCCCCCCAAAAAAGTCAGCCCTCTCCAGTCATACATCTGTAAATAGCAAGACTTAATTAAAGTCGTGGAAGAAGATACACTCACAAGTATAAAAGGAAATGGGAACTGCAGCTATTTTATTACAGATGCTTATCCTAGAGATAAGATACTGTAGGTCAAATCTTCCAAATTGTTCAAGGGGGTAACAAAAAAAAAACAAACCTCAGAGAAACCCTAAACTGTGCTGAAGAGAACCAGAGCCGATCACTCAACTGTCAACCTGCACTTGAACAGCTCTGTGGCCAGTGCAACTCCTGGCACCAGCAGCCTAGAGAACCCTGCACTGATCAAGTGTCTTTATTTGGCCATGTGAGCCCCTTTTATTGCCAGTTCCCAGAGCCACAGAGGGCAGTGTCTGTAAACCCAGCCATAGACTGAAACGGGGGAGATCGTGGTCTGAACCAGGAGCTTTTTCCATCCTCTTGTGTTAAAAACATTTGCCCTCAATTTGAGACAATTGGAAGAGGTGTGCTCCTGACTGGCGCGAGTCTCTCTCCTCTCCTCAGAACGTTAAGTGCCACTCCACAGTGTAACCTGATGAAGTCCCTCCTCACTCCTCAGCTGCTGCTTCAGGCTGCTGGTTTTTCTGGAAAAGTGAGCTCAGGCACAGCAAACCCAGAAACTGCATTGGTGAACGCGTGATGAAGTGCTGCTATAAAAACCAACCAAACAGCCCCAGTAGGTATGAGAGAAGAGTTCCAAGCCTGGTCTGACAGCCAAGATGAGGCCATACCTCCCCTGTGGTGGTAACATCATACTGGAATTACCTATTGTAAATTCCCGACTTATTTATTTTCGAAAAAAAATAATAAACATTGCATTTCTTAAAAAAACTGGACCACCTTTTTATTTTTAATTGCAGTCAGTGGATATGGGAGCAAGTCCCAAATGTTGCCCAATGTGCACACACGTTAATCAAGTGCCCAGAGCTCTCTGCCATCTGTGCTCACATTTCTCACATTCAACTTCTTCAGTTACTAAATACGCAGTGAGTTGGGGTTTTTTAATGTGATGTCATTCTCACACACCTTCTCCTCTGCACTACTTCATTCCTTTGCTTATTGTACTTAATAACCAAATCTAGCAAAGCAAAATTACTCAGTCCAAATGTTGTTCCTCATCCCCTACCATTACAGGTTACCTTGCCTCGCTCATGATACAGTGGCCTCCTCCTCTTCCTCCTCACAGGTGCAGGTCAGAAGAGCACTTAACAGGACTCAGAACTATCTCGGTGAGTTCACACTCTTCACGGCGGCCCAGTCCTGCTTCAGACCAGCAAAGGGAGATCCTGGAGACAGAAGGGTCCTTCACAGCCATGCCAGGACAGCACACAGAGTCCTGCACTTGGAGCTGGTTCTCTCTCACCCCTAAAGCACTCACAGCCCAATCCCACAACTGCCTGCAGGCTCTGGCCACCAGCCTCCAGGACAGACCAGGAGCATTTCCTAGGACAGACAGGGCGCAGAGCAGAACCCTTTCTGCTGTGGGCACCAACAGATTCACAAAGCTCTGGCCAGGCAATGCCAGGGTACCACAGTGTGGGTTCGGTTCCCTCGCCAATGTGGTGTGGATGTATGTTATTAATGGCCATTTCTTCTGCTGAGAGCAGTGCTTTCGCTGTTCCAGGACTGAAGCTTTACTTAAGGAATTGGTAAAATACTACTCCAGATAGATCAGTTCTGTTGGTTTATAGAGCAGCCTCCATCCCTGAAGCCACGCTCATGCTGTGAGGTTTGAGGGCCTTCAAAAAAGACGACGACAAACACCACAGCAAGGTACAACTGCTGCCAGGATGCAGTTCAGTATTTTGCCTTAAACCAGCTCACAGTGCTGGCAGCTCCAAACTGGAGCCCCTCTGTTCCTTAGCCCCCTGCTTTCTACCCTGGTGCTGGCAATGGAGATCAAGGATGGTGTCAGAAAGCACAGAGCAGAGTCACAGCAGCCATAAGAGTGAGGAAAGGCTGCAAATGGAGAAACCCACTGAAAACCCACCCAGAAAAACCAGCCCTGAGCGAGGCTCCCCTGTCACTGCCGAGCACCAGGCGTTCACAACAGCCCATCTGCATTTCTCAGCCACACAGCGGTGCCTGCAGTTACTCCCCTGGATCCAGCCACACATGGGTGAAACCAGGAAAACAGGGAACCATCTCAAACACACGCAAACTTCCCATCAGTGTAAACATAAACCCGCAACGCTTGCTGGTTTGCAGCCTGAGACTGCTGATAATAAAAGCTATTCAGAGCTGTTTCGAACTCTATTTCTAGGGACACAACAGCCACCACCTGCTCTGCGTGTCATTACAATGGCGTATGTTGCTCAACACAGACTGCACTGCTTGGTGCTTATCCCACCCTTCTGCTGCACACACAGCATCAGGCACAGCAGAAACACAGCCCTCGTGCTGCCTAAAAGAGGTTTGTCCCCAGCTCCAGCCAACCAGTCCATGCTGGCCATCCACAACCCCTCCAGAGAGATTTGTAGAGGTTATTTTAAAGGACAGTTTGCCCTATCTCTCTCTCTGGAGGGAACTCAGAGCCCTAACTCGGATCACATGTGTGCCCTCTCTCCCTGCACATTGCCAAAACACCAGCAGTTACTTTTTTCCTTTAACCCCACATAGTGATCATAACCAACAGACTAAACTCCTGTTAGAGAAAGGCATGTAAAGCCAGGGCAGAACTGAAGGGCATCCAC